CAGACTAGTAAATCTCCAGGACAATCTCTGATCATTTCTCAATCATACTTGAATCCCAGCAGGTAACTTGGGAACCCAACCACTTTGAAGTTCGAGAATATGTGGGTTGCAACACCTGGGGTTAAGGAGGTGGTTCAAAGAGCGCAGAAGATGAGAATGGAGCAAATTGGAGGGATGGTTCATGCACAAACTGAGAAACTGAAGGATGATATTAAAAAGTAGAACAAAGAAGTTTTTGGGAATGTTTTCTTGAAGAAGGCAGGGATATTAGAAGAATTGAGGGATATGAATAAAAGGAAAGAAGGGGACAACATCTCTGAGGACCAAAAGAGGAGACTAATAGAACTTGAGAATTAATTCGATGTGATATCGATTCCAAAGGAATGATGCTGGAGGCAAAGACAAAATTGAGATGGGTAAAGGATGGGAATGCCAATACTAGCCTTTTTCATAGGATGGTAAATAGATGGAGAAGGAAGAATGTTATCAAGGAACTCAAACTCGACAATGGCCAGAAAGAGAAGAAGTGTGGTTATTGGTCGAGAGATCACAAAGTATTCAGAAGAAAATAACTATAGGCCTTTTATTGAGGGAATCAAGGGGACCCCTAGCCTTTGGATAAAGCTAAGAGCATGAAGAGACCCTTTAAGGAGGATGGGATTAGGTGGACGGCGTGGGATTTGGACAAGGACAAAGCACTAGGCCCTGATGGATTTCCTATTGAGTTCTTTAAGGATAATTGGGACATCATAAAGGTGAAGTTGATAGTTTTTGACGAGTTTTTCATTAATGGGAGAATTTGAAAAAGCATGAACTCTGCCTTTATTACCTTAATCCCCAAAACAAGATAGGTCCAAGAAGATGTCCTATTTTAGGCCAATAAGCCTAGTGATAAACGTTTATAAAATTAGAGCATAAGTTCTATCCCTCAGACTAGTGAATCTCTTGATCAGATAATAGCCATTCATCAAAGTGCATTTATGGGGAGTAGACAGATTCTAGATGCAGACTAGTGCCAGACGATTTTGTGGATTATACTAGGAGATCAAAAGGGAAAGGCTTAGTTTAAAACTTGACTTCGAGAAGGCGTATGATCAGGTGAATTGGAGATTTTGAATAGGTTAATGGAAAGAAAAAAAGGTTCGGGTTTAGATGGAAAAAAAGGATATAGGGATATTTGACTACCTTTAGTTTTGCAGTGATAACTAATGAAAAACCACAGGATTGAGTCATGGCCCCTAGAGGTTTGGAATAAGGGAATCCTTTCTCTCTCTTTCTTTTCACTCTACTGGTTGATGTTCTGAGTAGAATGATCTCTAAGCCTGAGAGCAGGGCATATGTTAAGGGCCTGCGACTAGGTAAGGATAAAGTTGAGATATCATACCTCCAGTTCACTGATGGACGAAGCATGATAATCAGTTCATTTTAAAGATTCTAATTCCCATTCAAGTGTCTGAAACTATCTTGGGTCTTAAGATAAATCTGGGTAAGAGTGGACTTATTGGGATTAATGAGGAGAAGGCCATAATTGACAAGTTAGTGACAGAAATAGGCTGCAGCAAATTGGAATTTCCTTTCATCTATTTGGGGTCCCATCAGGGAGCAACCCAAGGAGCATACACTTTTGGAGATGGTTGAAAACAAGATAGAAAAACGGTTGGAGAGTTGGAAGGGTAGCATATTCACTTTAGGGGATAGAGTTACAATGATTCAGGCATGCCTAACAAGTACCCTTTTGTATCACTTATCCCTGTTTAAGATACCTGGAGGGGTAGCAGAGGAATGAGAGACACATGAGAAGGTTCCTTTCGTCTAGGGTTGGGGAAACAATTCAAGGATCATCTAGTGAGTTGGTAAATACGTGGAATTTTTTTAAAAAAATTTCCTTCAATAATATTTCATTTTTCTCTGAAGTCTCAAAGGCATGCCTAAAGTTTATCAAATTTGATGAAACCTAAACTGCAATTAGACAGTCCGATATTACATTTCTTCAGAAGCATAAAGATATACTTACAATATGAAGTTCACATTTCCTTTTATTAATTTATTCTAACATCAAAAGAAGTTCTTTCTTTTTTGGGAGGAACGACCAGCATCAAAAGTTTAAGCATAACGTGGAAATCAATTAAACTTCAACATAAAGAAAATGAAGAAACAATAAGCAAATGGGAAATTGAGAAAATACCTGGGTTCGAGAAGAACCATAGGATTACGGCACAGAGAAGGAGGACAAGTGGGATAACGTGGATAGCATTCTCGGCAGATCTGAGACGAGCCATCTCTTTCTTGGCCGCATGGGAGAGGGGATCGAAGGTGGGGAGTCGCTCATGTTGCAGCAGCGATTGGTGCTTTTGTTGTTGAGTAGGTTGTTTGGAATTATGCGATTGTGATGGCGATGAATTGATGAAAAACTGACCCGATACCCGAGAATTACTGGAAGATCTGTGCATCGCCGATTCTTTTCTTTGGAATCGCAGACGCAGAGAGAACGGGACGCGGGTAAAAGTCTTGGATTCTTGTTCGTTGTTTGTTCATGGAAGAAAGAA